TATCTATCTATCTATCTATCTATCTATCTATCTATCTGTCTATCCCAGCCTGTCTTCCTATCTATCTATCTATCTATCTATCTATCTATCCATCTATCTATTTATCTATCTATCTATCTATCATCTTTCCATTCCTACCTGCCTGCCTGCCTGCCTGCCTGCCTGCCAGTTGATGACAACCTTGGCAACTGCCTCTTTTTTTTATTTTTTAATAACAAGCATAAGCATACATAACAAAATAGACAAAAATATAAAACAACATAGACATACCACATAAAACATAAAAATATCCTCCTTCTTCATAAATTTACATACAGTGCATCGATTGGTTTACCACTTTTTTTTGTGCATCCATTTCCTAGTCACTAATATAATTATATTACATAATAGCTCATATTATCGATCAATAATTATATAACCTAATATCATCACTAAAAAGAAAAAGATCATTTATCTATAATTTTGTTAATTCATATTTTAATGAGATAACTATAGTTTACTTAATTTATTTTACAATAAATCATAAGATCATACCAAATCTATCTTGACAATGTTTTATAAAGATATTATCAAGAAAATTTTTTTTGCAGCAGGTCCTCCATCTCTCCATCCTGCGTGAGATTTCAGTGAAGGAGATGCTCGTGCACTGGCCCTTGTTAGGTTACCACGAAGGGGGCGTTTTGTGTTTCATTTGCATTTCTCCTTCTGCCGTTTTGTTACACACGACCAGCCCCAATTGCACGAATGTCCCCAGGTCACGGCTCATTGGCATTTCACATTCAGTACAGCAGTTGCATCGAAGTAGGATGCGTAAAATTGTGTAACATTCACGTGATATTCTGACCGATTCACCGAAGTCACACAACGAGGAGAATTATGGCCCAATCCAGAGATTGCCCCGCAGTTTTCCCTATGCTACGTCTTCCTTGCATAAGTGAGCCTCGGGCAGCCTCGCCACGCAAGTCCTGTGCACAGAGCAGCAAAATGCTCTCAGTTCAGCAGTGTTCAGTCCCAAGCAGAGGCATAGTTTAGGCCAAGGAGGAGGGAAGAGCATAGAATTAACATCAGATCAAGTTTTGTACCTCAGGGTTCATTTATTTACATAAGGTTGATTGGAGTGATGCCTCCAGGGGTGGGATTCAAATTTTTAACAACCGGTTCTGGTGGTCTTAGGTGGTGGGCATGGCTTGGTGGTCATGTGACTGGGTGGACATGGCTTGGTGGTCATGTTATTGGCTGGGCATGGCCAACTCAACATCACTCACATCGAGGCACGCATCTCCTTGCCTGGCCTCTCATGACTGTGGGGATGCTGCAACCGTTGTAAGTGTGAAAAATGGTCATAAGCCACTTTTTTCAGTCCCATTGTAACTTTGAATGGTCACTCCACACAAGCAAAGGACCAGCAAAGGAGGCGAAAAAAACTCCAGAGATGTTCCTGAGACAGGAAGTCTAGTCCTGCCAAGAATGTAATAAGGGTTAGCGGAGAGGCAGTTTCCGTAAGCAACACCAGAATGTTTCCTTCCTGCCTTCCTTACAGGATTAGGCCAGTAATTTCTTCTAACAACCGGTTCTCCCAACTGCTTAGAATGTTAACAACTGGTTCTAGAGAATAGGTGCGAACCTGTAGAATCCCAGCCCTGGGTGCCTCCCTTTGCACATCGTCCACACACCTTAATTGGAGAACAAGGTGCTCATTCAGTAGCTGCCTCCTGAGTACTCTCAGAGTACGGGGAGCCAGAGAGTGAAGGGAAGACACATCCATAGGGCTTATCTGGGGTCCCTGGACTTGCCCCAAGCTGATGCCTTGCTCCCCATGTGACTTGCAGATAGTTGGACCAAGAGTGACAAAATGGAGGCAGAGATAAGTCAGTAAATCAAACCCAGAAATGCACGGAAGAACCTAGAGAAGCAAGGCAGCAGGTTAGAAGGTGTGAGAGGGAGCATCACTTCTAGGCAAATAGCTGGAGATCCAGAGTAGAAGAAGACCATGTATGCCTGTTGTGTTCTTCAGAGTCATGTGTCTTCTCGGTAGGAAACCTTTCTGAAAACTTTCTGTTAGTCTAACGAATATTTTTATTTTGTGATACTGAAATGATTTTTATGATTCATAATGAGATAACAACATTCCCTATATTTCTATACAAATTATTTAGTGGCTGTTTTGTTTCGGATTCTAAACAATAGTTAAAAGGTAAGTATTGGGACTTACCGGTCTACTGACCAGTTTTATGTCTGTTTTCTTTCTAATTAAGGGTTGAATATTCACGGTGCTTGTCTAAAACCTATTGTGGATCATGCCCATATTGTACAGCAGGATTTGACAATTCTTCTAAACTCTGCTCAGTTTTAGATACATATGGAAACACTGATTGGGAGTGTTTGGTGTAGAGGTTGAGACCCTGTGCTAGGAACCATGAGGCTATTGGCTCTAGTCCTGACTTAGACATAAAGCCACCTGAATGAATTTGGGCCAGTCATTCACAGTCAACCCTAAGAAGAAAGAAAAATGCAACTGAACTTAAAATGTTGTCAAGAAAATGGCATGGACTGGAGTCAAGGCTGATAATTTGAAAGCAAATTCCCCTGCCCCCACCATTACTCTAAAGCAGTGATCATCAACCAGTGGGCTGCGGATCACTGGTGGTCCACGAGAAAATTTTGGTGGTCCGCAGAGATATGTCACCCCCGAAGCACCCCCCCCCCCAAGCAATTAATGTGGAGTGTGAAGGATGTGTGTTTGAGTTTATTTTCATGGTCATGATGTGCACTGAAGATGGTGTTTGATTCCGTTGTACAAGGTGCAATGACAATAAAGTAAACTAACTAACTAATCCAGACTGCGCAGGAACACAAGGATGCGCTGCCCACATGGCCTGCGGGAGCACAAGGCTTGTACCGCTTGCATTGTGAACAGCAGGAGGTAGTGAGGGGAGGGGAGAAAGGGTGGAGTGTGGGGGGAACTTGCCCCACTCACCCCATGTGCCTCACCTGGCCACCAGGTTGCTTCTTTCCGCTTCTTTCTTCTTCTGCTTTTGGCTGCACGCAAGGAAAGCAGCAAAAGTCTTTCTTTCTCTCCCGCAAACTCCCTTGCTGCTTTAACCCCATATGGATGGTCCACAGCCAGGGCTCAACCCCAAGGCTTTGGGGAGCCAGTGAACTGACAACGGGGAGCCTTTGGGGTCCTTCCCTTTCAGGTCTGTGCAGGATCAGAGCTGAAACTGGGTTTTTCAGAGCTGAAACTGGGTTTTTATTGCAGCTTTGCCCCAGTGAATATGAGCAGCTTGAGAAGAACCACAGCGAACAAGTCAGACCCGGTTACAGAAATGAGACCACCGCAAACAACATAATGGAAAAGGTGAGGGTCGAAGGGGTGGTTGATATCTCATAATCACAATTTGGATTTTTGGGGGGGAATTAAAATATATTTCCACAACAACAGCCTTGGGGGCACAGCAAGGAAATAGAGTTACCCCAGTGAGGTCCCAGAGATACAAGATGGGATTAAAATCCCGACCACAGTATGCATGGGCACAAGGAGCACAGAAGTGATAACTATGCTGTTCAATAAAAGTAAAACCAAGTCCAGGAGAGCCAGTTGTGTAGGATCTAATAGATCTTGCAATTGGGGGAGACGGTAAGGGAATCTCTTGGATTCCATGCAAAGGGCCTGCTCAGTCCTCAACCCTCCCCTCCCCATAGGTGGGCAAGGTGTGCAAGAGCAGATCCTGAACCCGAAGCGCTTTCTCCAGAGAAGCCCCTCTTCCCTGCCACCTCTGGCTTCACTTTTCTGCTTTCTGACGTTTGCCTTCGCTGCAGCTGCAACAGGCCCAGGAGTTCGTCAACACGCTCTCCAAAATGTGTGACCCCATCTGGACGCTGAGCCTCCATCAGACCTTCCTCCTGCTCCTCATCCTCGGCCGCTGGCTGCTCCCCATCGGAGGGGAGATCACCAGGGACCAGCTGTCTCAGCTGCTGCTGCTCTTCGTGGGCACCGCCGCAGACATCCTCGAGTTCACCAGTGAAACCCTGGAAATCGAGAACGTCCGGTAGGGCTCAGATGGGCCCTCAGCCCTGCAGCTGCAGCCACAACAGAGAAGACAGCCTGTCCTTCCAACCATCTGTCATTCTGTCTGCCTGTTTGCCCACCTGTCTGTCTCTCTATCCAACTGTCACCCGTTGCCCCACCGTCAGATTTTCCTTATAAGGTGCAATACTTGTGAACAAACCAGAATGACGGGAGGGTGAATTGAACTGTTTCAAAGGCTTGTAAAACTCTGAACATGAGAACTAACAGGCTGAATAAGGGAAGGTGAAATCTTTCTTCTTATGAAAAGGCAATGATATTTGTCCATTACTCTCAAAGGAAATTTTCTGCCATTGCTGGCATTTAGTCCTTGTTAGCTCTAGTCGAAGTGGGTGATGCCTCACCTCACACACACGTTTTGGCAGAATCTCATCTGCCATCATCAGGCTTCTGGCAGATGAGATTCTGCTGAAACGTTGCTACAACTTTAAAAGCACAACTATAATGACGTGGGAAAATATCCGAACAAAGCAGAATACATAAGAAAACACACACACACACACACACACACACACACACACGTATATATTCAAGGCAATAAAACAAGTTAAAATACAGAGAATTAGAGAGAGAGAAATAGATATAATTTGTTCTCCAATAGATGGGCAGTTCCCTTTTCTGAAGTTTGGTTTGCTATTATAAAATTGATGATTTGGTACAGTATAATCATTTTAACCTTATTTCCTTTACTCAGTTTCATTATTTCCAACCTACAATATTCCTCACTCCCATTTTATGAATAATAGAAATTAATTGTAGGTTCCATTGTTGGAGGCCTCCTTAATCTAACCAATGTGTCAGGCCTAATTATGCCAGTGCCTTGTTTCTAAAATGCCTGCCTTTCCGTTTTTTCCAGGAACAAAGATGCTCTGGTGTATGCAATCTTAGCCGTGTGGACTTGGAGCATGTTGCAATTCCCTCTGGATCTAGCAGGTTGGTGCCAGTCAGTGTTTTCCCAGGATTGGGCTCCCTTCCTATTCCTTGGAAGCTGCTTCAACTGGCTTTTGTGGGGGCTGGTCCCTCTAGGGTGGAACTGTGGAAAGGCCAGTCTGAAGGCCAAGGCAGGGGATTTCAAGAGGTTGAAATGTCTTATTGGAATAGGAATAGAATAGAATAGAATAGAATAGAATAGAATAGAATAGAATAGAATTCTTTATTGGCCAAGTGTGATTGGACACACAAGGAATTTGTCTTGGTGCAAATGCTCTCAGTGTGCATAAGATAAAAGATAACATTCGTCAAGAGTCAAGAATCATCAGGTACAACACTTAATGATAGTCATAGGGTACAATAAGCAATCCAATCATACTATTATGAGGAAATAGATCCATCTTTAACTATAAATAATTAATTAATAGATTAGATGATAGAAAGATATGGATGGATGGATAGATAGATAGATAGATAGATAGATAGATAGATAGATAGATAGATGATAGATAGATAGATAGATAGATAGATAAATTGATTAAAAAAACCAGATGATTGATTTACTTAGGAAATGTTGACCATGTGCAAACGAAGTTCTAGAGATGCTCAGTAGAGGTTCTAGTTTGTAAATGATGATTTATAAGTCATCACAATGTGAACAGTAACCTGGCTAAGCAAGGCGTGTGGTTTAATCAGAAAACCACAGTTCAAAGAATGAATCATGCTACAGGCTCAGCCTGGCTTGGAAACTGCTGCTGTGTCTGACAACTTTGTCTTTGGGTGATTTATGACCTGGGTTTCAACCTTCTGAAAAAAATGCCGCTGCTTTTTATTTTCTTTCTTTTTTAAAAAAAAAAAATTCCTCCCAGTGCAACATCTCAACTGTGATCGAGCCGCTTCGTCCGCAAAAGTTTTCCACCTGCTCCTCTGCAGACACAGCGCCGACCTGTGGAACATCGGCATCAGCTTGTTTATCCAGGACGGCCCTTTCCTTGTGGTGCGCCTGATCCTGATGGGCCACTTTCGCGTGGTGAACCAGATGCTCGTGTTTTTTGCAGCCAAGAATATTTTGATCGTGTTGCTGCAGCTGTACCGTCTGGTGGTGCTATCGCTCGACTTCCACGCCTCCCTCCAGCGCAGGGCAAAAAGCCAGAAAGGAGCCACTTCCTGTTGCCCCTGTGAGCCCAGCTCCATCCGCCTCCCATCCAATGGCCTGCTGGATGGAGGCGACTTGACTGAGTGCTTGTGAGGGAAGGTCTCTCCTGCCCCAGGACCAGCCCTTCCCTCTGGGGGCCACGTTTGAATGGGCTGGCCTTGCTTGCCCACTGCAAGACAGGGGTCCCATCCTAGCAGCAAAGGGGAGCCATTTGAGACAGGATTGATTGGGTGGGTTGATTGACATGGTATCCACCGTAGGGATCCATTGTATATTTGATGGGAGTCAGCAAGGTGGGTTTTTTTTTTGGTTGGCTCTTTTTTTTGTTTCTTTGTTTTAATGTGTGACATTTGGGGACGTCCTGACTGCCTTCAGAGCCCTGCCGTAGCAGAATCTTTACCTGAAATTCAGGTCTACGTCTGGAGCATAATACACGTCCCCGTGATCTTCTAGCCTGAGAATTCAACTTTGACAAAGATGCAGCAGTTCGAATCAACGGAGAGAGCAATTTCCTGCTTCCTGTCCATCCCAGACACACGGATGTATTCAGGGAATGCAACAATAGGGTGAGGATGGCATGGCTCGGCACAGAAGGATTTCAGAGCCTCTTGTATTGCTACAGTTTGTTCTGGTGATTACAGGCCATTTTCCTCCTGGTTCTCTTTTATTTTACACCACCATCAAGTTCGCCCTCGTCTACCCTGTTTACATCAACTCTTTCCCACAAAGCAATGGGCCCCCTTCCACTCATCCGGGGATTTTTCTGGGGAGGGAGGGAAGACAAATCCAGGCGGGCGTGGCCTGTCTCTTAGAGGACATGAGTGGGGGAACATGCTACTCATGTTCTGCCAACCAAGATGTTACCCTCAGGAATAGATTTTGAGGAAAGTTCTGGCGGTTGATTCTCTTACTCTGCCATGAATTTTGCCTTTCTTCGTTACACCGCCAGGACAGTTTCTGTTTGGAATAGTTTCAGCCCTTGAAATGAAATATTGTATTAGCTTATCAAAGACTGGCCTGCATAAAATAACTTGGTTATTATTTGCAGGGAAAGTTGTGTTCCAAGTCTTGTTATTGCTGAATTCAATTTTGATATAGTATATGAGGTCATTCCTTCTCCTTTATTTCTGAATGTTGATACCTTTGGTTACTGGGAGCACAATTCTTCATGCAAAGAGAGGAGATATTTTTTAATAAACCAGGAGATTTGTATTTGCTTGGGAAATGTTTATCTGGCAGCGTCTCTTTCTGCTCCCTCCCCCTTATCTTCATGGCTGCTTCCCCTCCACTAACTTACCTCTGATTTGAGAGGGGGGGGAGAACAACTGACCTTAGGAGAAGAGGAGAGAAGCTGTCGTGACCTCAGAACTTGGTGGCTCCCACCCTCCTCTTCCTCTGTTTTCAGCAGTTGGGGCCCCATTCATGCGTAGCTCTGGGTTCTTCCAGAGTGCTGTGATAACGTCATTCACGATGTGCACCAGTTATGCCCTTTCTCTTAGCCTCTCATGCCCTGGTTGCATGGATTACTCCGATGCGCTTTGCATGGGGCTACCCTTTAAAAGCATCTGGAAGCCACATCTGGTGCAGAATACTTGGATTGGCGGGATGCGTCCCTCTCCAAAGGTATTGGTGTTTCCCCGGAAGAGGCCAGGCCCAGGTCCTGAAGGCAGGAAGAGGCGATGTGGACATGCAACAGGTGCTATATGGCAGCCTCTCCCACCCTCATGGGGTGCTGGGCAGAGGTGGGCATTCATATCACTGGCCAGGGGTGGGATTCAGATTTTTTTTTTACTACTGGTTCTGTGGGCGTAGCTTGGTGGGCGTGGTAGGGGAAAGGATACTGCAAAATCTCCATTCCCTCCCCACCCCACTAACCTGCTTTCCAGCTCCATTCTCCTGTGCAGGGCAACCAAAGAAGACCCAGCCGATCAGCTGGGACTCAATGGGAGGCAGAGAAGAGATGGGGGCGGTGGGGACAGGCAGAGGTGGTATTGGCCGGTTCTCCGAAGTACTCAAAATTTCCGCTACCAGTTCTGCAGAACTGGTCAGGACCGGCTGAATATACCACCTCTGGTTCAAATCCATGGCCTAGGGCTTCATTTTAGTGCTGAGTGAGGAAAATGCAATCAACAACAGAACAGTTTCCTGAAGAAACACACAAAAAGGGAGCTTTCTAGGCTTTAGCTGGTTTTACGGGTCTCATCAAATTTTAAAACCAGGAGACTGAAATTGTCCCTCTAGGTGGGGAGAACAGGCAGAGGAAAGAGGGTGGCCTGGAGGAGAGCCTCTGGCCGTTTTCCAGAAATGACGGCGCCCAGCTTGGGGGTGAATTTTTATCCACCTAGTCAACAAGAAATGAGTCGTTACTATGGCAATTCTGATATTGTGAGTGTCGCATAGCTGTGCAGCTCAACAACCCAAGCCAGCTCTGCTTTCCACATGTGAGGCCCTGCTGTGTAGGTGATGGGGAACTATGGGAAGATGGGCCAAGGGTGGGGTGATAAAGGCCAACAGGGGAATAGCTTCACAGGGTTTCCTCAGGCCAGGCATGATTTAATAAGTGAGCCGTTTTGTTAATAGGTTGGGGTGTGGTTTTTGAAAGCAACTTGGCCCTGGTTGTGTTTTGTGCTTGCTGACAATAGCCCCCAAGTCTCACCAAATTAGCCCCCAAGTTTCCATCTTCACCACAAAAGGAATCACAGTCCTGTGGGCCAAGGAAGACGGCTGGTTTCGTGGCCACTGAACTGTAGGCCGACCCTGTGATCTGATATATAGATATATTTATTAATCTTACAAAATGTGGGGGCTGCTTGACTCTAAAATCTTGCACTCAAAATAGAAAGCAATGAAAAGAAAATGCCATGTCTGGCACGGATGGGTTTGGGCGGACCCATCGCTAACATTGTGGCTGGTTGGGTGAACCAGCAAATCCCACCCCGGCTGCCCTGCCCCTCCCGCCCCCTCCCGCCCCTCCCAGGAGTCTCCATGCAGGTAAGGGCAGGGCCCGCGCAGAGGTTTGGGGAGGGGGAAAAACGGGCCACATTTCCAGCCTCTGGAGCAGGGGTGGGCAAACTTTTTGGCTCGGGGGCCTCATTGACTTTTAAAATTTGACAAACGGGCCGCCACCTGGTGTCGAAATGCTTGTCATTACAAGTCAAAATCAAATGAATGCAATCATTCAATCATTCACATCAAACCTTAATTCTGTACCAATCTTCGGTGGGCCGGATTAAAAAGAACAATGGGCCGGATGTGGCCCCTGGGCCGTAGTCTGCCCACCCCTGCTCTGGAGGGTCTCCGGAGCCTGAGGGAGGCTGTTTTTGTCATTCCAAAGGCTCGAAGAAAGCCTGTTTCCGACTTCCAGGGAGCCTCCGGAGCCCGGGGGAGGCAGTTTTCACTGTCCCAGAGGCATGAGGAAGGCCTCCGGAGCCTGGGGAAGGTGAAAAATGGGCCTCTCGGAAGTTCCGGTAGGGCACCCCCAGCCAGCAACCAGGCAGGCAACCTGTGGCTGGGATTTTTGAAGCCCACCCCTGGTCTCCCTACAACAGAAAACACAACCAAGGCAGCTTCTCAACCATCACCCTTCCTGCCCTTGACATTGAGAGGAACACTTTGATCTGAAAGACTTCTGGAACATCCTCAGGCTGGGAGACATGCAGAAGACACAACTGGATTGGGTTGATTCTATTCTTGGTTTGGTTGTGGTTAGATTGGATACTGTAAGTTGCATGCTGTGCCTCCATTGTCCGCTCTGAGTCAACTGGTACAGGAATGCAATGCAATGCGTGAATGAATGAATGAACAAATCCCACCAGGAAGGGGCCGAGAGCGGCGGGGGGGGGGATATTGTTTCTGAGGAATCCAAAGGAAAATATATTACCAGCTGGACCTTCCAAGTATGGCACTGGGACAGACTGAAGAGGTCAATGCCGCGAAACCATCCTTTTCTTTTGTTCTCTCTGCATCGCCAGTTTGAGGGGGGTGGGGGGTGGGGACATTTGAGCAAAGCTGAGGCAGTAATAAATTATACTGTACTTCTAATAAATCTAAAAGGGTGGTGGTGGATTATATGAAGTGGTAACAAAAACAGTACGTGTGCCTGTCTTACAGAATTATTTGAAATAAGCCCCAAGGCTTTGAAATGCTACCAGACCTGCGAGATAAAAAACCAGAAGTATGAATATGAAACAGAAATAGATGCAATAAACTGCAGAGATTAAAAAGAAGAAAGAGGCGACAGCAATATGTATCACATTTAGGGGGCAAATCGTGGACTAATAAACCACAGGGTTCCCTTGGCAAACACTACATGTATTTTATGCCAACTACAATAAAGGAACTTCAGAAGAACTGGGGACACTCGTGAACCTGAGACTTTATTCTCATTTTTGTTTAGTCACTTAATTAATGCAGCACTTAAAATAGATGGAGCGCTTTATGTGTTGCAATGAACATGCACAAATCACCATTCAGAGATTTGCAGGCTAAGCATCTGGTGGGCCACTAAAATAGGGATCGCTACATTCTCTCTCTTGAATAGGAGATAGAATCAGAAGCAACAAAATCTACTGCCATCTAGTGCCCAGAGTGCAGAATTACATTATCCAGATGTTGGAAGACACAAGAGCAGAGATTATTAACCAGGTGAAATGTCAATGAAACACCACACAATGTCTCGCCCCAGCTGAGATTCATTTTAAAATAGTCCATTAGCGTAATTCAAAGTGGGGAAAAAAACTTGTGTGGAATCACAGCATATTTGAGACAGTGACAGCCTCTGCTGTTAGGGAAGCATTTTTTAACAGCCTATAGCAATTTCACTTGCCTGCTTTCTGATAAATTGGTCTTATGTGTTTAGATGATTTTTTTGCTACAAGAAAGTGAACTGCTATAAGTGGATGGAAACATCCTTTTAGACCTACAGAGAAAATGGCCAATTTGTACCTTTATACTTAATTTATAGATTCCACAGGCTCCTGGGTTCAAAGCACATGATTTATAATGGAACAGATTTACACCAAGAGCTGCGACTGTGAGGATCTTACTCTGCCAATTAGCTGGGTTGAAAAGGAAGTTAAAAGGTGCCTTGCCTG